ACTGGCGTGATCAACGACCTGCTGGTAATAATAGCAATCGTCGTGGTGGTGGAAATAATCCAAAACAAAATCAATACATATCAACAAATAATCGTCAACAATATAATACTCGTATATCACGTAATAATCGTTTTACAGATAATCGATCACCACATCAAGGACGAGATTCACCATTACAAACTACGAATGAAGAATCAACACATAATAATCAACGAAAAAATAGTGGTAATTTTTCACAAGGACAATCTTTGGATCCAACAAGTCCACCAACGTTAGTTTCAGCTCGAACTATTTATCCTAGTGCAAATCGTTCATCAGCTAATCAAAATTCACCAACACAACATACTGGTAGTTCATCATCACGTAATAATTCTATAACAGCTACATCTCCACCACCAAATCAACAATCAGGAACAAATAAAATGGCAAAGAAATCATCGCTCAGTAAGAATTATTATTTTTGTGAAACATAATCCAGAAGAAGTATCGATATACAAAGTAGAAGTTTGCGATCGCAGACCGTGACATGCTAGTCAACGACTATTATAAACGTTGTTAATATACGATCACAGATCTTGTATAAATAATGTCTCGTAACTACTTTCTTATTGTATTTCGGGAGAATTAAGTAAAAGAATGGATGAAGAAATATGTCCTGAAATAGGTAGAATGAAACAGTATCCCTGTGATTAACAACAATAGCTACATTGTGTTTCATATTTGAGTCTGGCGTGGATTGCGCTATCTCTTCTTTTTTTTTAATTCGAATTATATTTGATTTTAAGATGAACAACAATTAATACATGATGAAATTGATCAACCAAAACAACAACGTTCTTCAAATAATCAAGCAAATGCAACTCCACTTAATCGTCCATCGTATTTACAATCAAAACAGCAATCAGCTTCAACAAATAATAATATTCAATCATCGTCAACATATCCAAATCAAGATGATAATTCATCTAGTCATGATATTATTAATACAAATCAATCAAGTGCAACTGGAACAACGTATGTTTTGTTGTTTGTCAAGAAAAAATGTCAACATACATGTTTCTATTTCTAGAACACCAAATTCAACGAAATCCAATGCAGCTTTAAATCCTGAAGCGGATGAATTTGTTCCCGTATTTTCAGTAAATTTCTTTTGTTTTGTTTTTCTAAATTATTCAAGAAGAATATCTTATTTTATCTAGCGTGAAAGTAGTTCTCGACCAGAATCACGTGGTACATCAACAACAAGTTCAACATCTATGAATGCTTTTATTGCACATCCTCATCCACAAGCACTTCATTTTTTACAACAGCAACAACAACAACACGCTCAATCACAACCAACACCACCCATAATTCCAGTAACACATACACAAAATGCAGCAGCTTTATATCAACAATATTATCAAACAGCATTTGCTAATATGCCACAATTTATTAATGCTACACCACAACAAATGACAGTTGGAGTTATGAGTGCACCAATGATGCCATCACAACCTTTAATTGCAACTGGACCAAATACAAATAATTCAAGTAATGGAAGTTCAAGCGGAATGACAACACCGAACAGTTCAGTTAGCGCTGGTCCAACTTATAAAATAAATAATAATAATAATAATAATAATCAAGTACATGGTGGAGATAATGGTTCTAGTGGAATAAATAGTGTTGCCCCGAAAAAAGCTGTTGTATCTGTTCAACGCCCAGAACAATCAAATACTCCTCAACAACAAGTGCCTGGTGCTCCACCAATGATGTTTCCAGCTCCACCAATTCGATATTACTCACCTGATTATCTCGCACAACGTAAGCATATTTGATCTTTTAACTTTTTTTTTTATTTATTTTCTTTACATTCGAATAGAAGCTACTCCTGCGTCGATGCATTTCTCGCAAATTCCATTTTATTATTCAATGAATCCATCAGGTATAATTCAATCAGCTGGAACTGTTGGTCAACATCAAAATATTATGATTCCATCAACTAGTTCCTCAACAGGATCAACTACACCAGTTATGCCTCCACTTCATTACGCAGGAGTTTATCCAGGTAGTTTCCAAATAAAATCAAATATTTCTTATTTATCATTTATTCTTAAGATCCACGTATGTACAGTTTATATTCGTCAGCAGCAGCAGTGAATCCAGCAAGTGTTCATCCCAGTTGGCAATTAGCTCGTTCACCTCCTCAACAACAACAACAACAATCAGCAGATCAACAACGTGTCTATGGTAATGGACAAAGCGCTCTATCTCAACAAACTCCATCAACGGGTACTACAAATACTGGTGGTAGATCGGCATCAGTATCAGGTCAAAGTAGTGCTGGCAATAGTAGTGGTCATCCTCTCACTCCACAATATACATTAAATGGAGCTATACCAGCTGCTTATGCTTATGGAGGACCTGCTGGATGGATTTCTGGTCCACAACAAGTCCCACCGCTTCAGACAAATATGTCTCAACAAATCAATGCCGCTTATAATATAATGTTTGATCCGACTCAACAAGTACCACCACAGCAAGCAACATATCTACATCGAAATCCATACGATCCATCTTCCTATTTTCTTCAACCAGGACAACCACAACCTCCACCATCACAACAACAACAGCAGCAACAACAACAACAACAACAACAACAACAACAACAACAACCTTCCCAATCAGGCTTAGACACAGTACCACAAAGCAATTATAATCGTTAAATATATTTCTTTTTCTGTCTGTCTTTGTTTCTCAATATTCATGTATGACTGTGTCTTTATTCTCTTGTTCAGATTCTTCTTCTATCTCTTGCTGTGTGATACATATATATTAAACATCAAACTTTCTTCATCTTGATTCTTCTTTATGTTTGTCTATCTGTTCGTCTTGTCTTCCTCATTAGTTCTTTTTTCTTTTCATCATATGTATGTTAAAGTTAAGTTTCCGTTTCTTTTCTCTCTTTACTCATACAACAGAAACAATTTAAGTCTAGGCTAATAACTATTGACAAAAAGCGGTAACGTTTAATAAATTATTGGTTCTATTCAACGATTTTTTAGACAACAAAAAAAACTCATTTTTCTCTTGTTACTAATTAATTTCAAAATAAAAAAAAGGAAATTTAAAGAAAACCTATATGGCGTGACAAAACGTTACGGGATTTGAAAAAATAGAGCTTTTTAAGTGGAACTGAGAGTTTAGCATTTTACTACGAAACGAAGCAACATAAAAATAAACTTTATAAAAAGAGCTGTTCAGTTTTTAACAAGCTTCCAAAATAATAGTTCATTTCTTAACAAGCATAATTGCATCGAGTAACAAAGTAAAATTTATATTCGTTATGGAATTTCATCCTTTTTCTGAAAATCATCGTTGGGATCAGGATGAAAGCAGAGATATGAACGGCAAACAGATTTTCGTTACCAACATCGGATTCTGCATCATATGGTGTATTTTTCACTAGAATACAACGAAAAAAAAGCTTGCTAGGACAGCTTCTTGATGCTAAAATGTAGAATTCACACATGTACTTTAGCTTCACTGTACTAATAGAAAATGCATAATGTTAAAAACCTCTCACAGACTTGTTGTCGTTTCCGAAAGATAATGAATTCTTAGGGAAACAATCTCTCTTATTTATTTTTGCATTTCGAACAGAACTTTTTTCCCATTTTTTTTACCGGCGTTCTATTCTTTCGTTTGTTGTTTTGCTATTCACCCATTATTTTTCCTTTTTGTATTCCGTTTTTCTGCTTCTTATTTTAACCATTGATTTAACTGGCAACTAAGCCTATGGTACAGATGGATTATATCTACAGCAGATCTCAACGCAATATTATATATTTCAATAAGCTCACAAACATTGATATTGGTTTTTGTCCAAAGTTATAAATTTATCAATTCACGGTTATAATGTTTATCAGACGATGACTATGACAGATCAACATATTATTATTCATCGTCCTTGGCATCTTGATTATAGATTCTTGTCTGCTGAAAAGTCAGAAACTCTACTATTTAGAATATTGACAAACGTATTCTAGTCATTGGAATTTCAACAAAGACTTTAACATGTCCTAGAATTCTCTAAAGCTATCTAAGTCTTGTTGCTAATGCCGTTTAGTGCCTAGTGTTATCGCTGATGAACTCTGAAAAAAGAATCTGACGTCTATTGTCCTCGGTAGCTAAGGTCTGTAATGGAAAGAAATAGAGGCGAGTCGGAAAACTTCGACCGAAAAATTACACTCAGTATTTTCTTTGAAAATGGATGTGAGTTCCACAAAAACCAATGCGAATATTTAATTAAACTGTGTTCATAATACGTGTGTTCGATGGAGCTTTTTGATTTCTATATGGAGACGCCATTTTCGTTGCGAAAATTAGTAACATAAGAGAACACAAATACTCTATAAACGAGTTTCGTTACAGAATTTCATCGAAAATAGAGAAAATTTTTGAACTTATTATTTTGATCTATAGATATGTAATATTTCTACGAAGGTCATATGTTGAAAGAGAGTACTTTATATTCAATGGATTAATAACTAATTACAGAATTTTTTCTTTTGCTAAGCAATCCTTATTTGACGATGTGTCCGCTACTATCTTTTATATCAATTTTTGAGTTGTTCAAAATACTCAATGTTGTTCAAGAAAAGAAATCTTTTCATTTCAAATAGTATCAATCGTTCTCTTTTCAATGATTGACTGAGCTTTCTTCAATTTTAAGTTCAAATTTTCCCCATATATGGGTGACCGAAAGATAGTCGTACTGCATAGAGTATAGTTGAGAAGGAAGTTCATCAAAATACTTTGAAAAATTAGCAAAGTTAATTTATTGGTAAATATGTTGAAAAAAAGCAAGCTACAAATATTTCCTCAAGTAATTATATAAAACCAAATATTCAACTAACGCGAACTTCAAATTAATCAGTAATTAATTGAAAATATGAATATCGCGCTTTTTATTTAATTCCATTCGGTGTACAAAAGTTAAATAAAGTTTTAAGAAATTACGAAATTCTTGTATGTTGTTGATAAAAAGGTGACTTTTGAATTTCACCTTTTTGAAGAGCTTTACGTGCATCATTCGCTGTTATAGCACATATAGCTGCACCAATTCCAGAACCTAAATAATACTGATTACATGAATAGTTTAAAAGTATTATTTCTATACCATCAGCACTAATACGTAATTCATAATTAAGTAAAACTGGAGCAAGAATTTTAAGATGACGTTGAATAACCATATTAAAACGAGGATGAAAACGATAGAGACTACCATCAATACCGATACAAATTTTTTTCATTTCAGTTTTTCTATTTTCATGTAGTCGTTTCATTAAGACAGCCATGGCTGCTGCAGTAAGCATAGCTGCTCGCCTAAAGAAAATCAAAAACAAATGATTTTTATATAAATTTATTTGTATTGCTAACCTTGAAATTAGTCGACATGTATATGATATAATAGCACAATCAGCATTTGTTGCATAATCTAAACCTAATTTTTTCAAAACATTTCGTGTATTAGCAAATGTACGACCAGTATCGAGTTCAATTTCTGATATATGATTTGTTTGTAACATATAAAGTGCATGAAATGGTGAATAATATCGATAAGATTGTTTATGATCACGTTGAATTTTTAAAATAATACCTTGATTAATAAGAGTAGCTAATACTTCAGCAGCTAAACGACCCATATACATTCCTGATATGAGTTTTTCAAATATATGTATGCCTGGATTATTTGACATTTTATCAATTTCTCTATCAAAATCTGTAATTAACATATCAAGACAACCGCCTTCGCCTAATAAAAGAAAAATTTCAATCAATACAAAAAAAAAATATGTCTAAATACCGAGAGCACCCCATTCGGTATTAATAATCATTTCTGTTGCTTCTGATGGTAGAACTGATCGATCTGATATATTATGAATTTTATTGATATCTTCAAAATAACAGGCATTTGTACCAGTACCTAATCATAAACAAAAACCTATCAATATATTGTAACTAATAAGCAAACTATTCTCACCAAGAATTACACCAATTCGACAAGTAGGCTCATAGTAAGCTAAATAAAACAAATCAATTCTATTTACATATATATGATTTTTTTTTCTCTAATTTTAGACATATTGAGTTAAATTTTTTTTTTGAAGATCAAGTTTTAATGCACAACTATTTTACAACTAATGACAGAACCTTCTCAGATGTTTCCTTCGATTTCAAGAATTTCTTGCTTGTAGATACTGCATAGTGTTCTAATCAAAACCCTGGAAGACTTCCAGTGCCTATAGAGATTTGACTAAGCTATTGAATTTTCAATATGTCTGTTTTCTCGAGTCGCCAGTTTTTTGAAAACCTCTTACCTTCGAAGTTTGATCTGAACCTTTGTGCATATAGAGTACTCAACTAGACTAGCTTTCATAAAAGTTCACAAGTTTTGAACTAAGTCTCTTTCGCGATATAACGCTTTCAAGATACACACTTTTTCAATGGATAGTATATGCAACATATATGTTTTGCAAACTTCATATTGCAAAGAGATTTTGCTCAAAACTTTTGTCTACTAGATTTGTTTTTGGCACCATGTATTTTTATCTATAGAACGGGCTTTTTAGATTACGAAAATAATGTCTATGTAAATAAGATGTTTATTCAAAAGCTGTTATAGCAGCTCCTGCAATATTAAAATATGAAACACGATATAACTGTTGTTTCTAATCACAAGAAGATTTATTCATTCTATCTATTTGAGAGTACTTTTTTTTTCATCCATCGTTTTACTTATTTCTCTGAAAATACAATAAGCAAGTAGTTATAAGACGCTATTGATACACGATCTATGACGTTTCTATCATTACTTTTAGCACGGTCTGTGGATAAGGGGATGGAAGGGGTTCATATTTTTACTTCTATACTTTAATACTCTTTTTAGATAGTCTTTCATGAAATTAAAAAAAAACAAATAATTATCATAATAATATTAATATTAACTTGCCACAAGCCATTAATGTACCAACTGTATCATTAATTAATGCAGTTATTTTAACTTTTAATTGTTTTTGATATATAATTCTTTGTAATTTTTCTACAACATCTTGTCCAATTAAATCTGATAAAGTCCATCCTTTTGATGGTGTTAAAAATTTTCCTTTATTTAAGGCAATTTGTTCACAAGCAAAACTAAATGTAAAACCAAGTACATATTCTTGATCTAAATCAAGTTTATTTCGTATCATAAATTGTTTTAATACATCAACAATAAATTCAAATAAATCATTTGCAAGAATTTTCTTTGAATCTGGTACAATATGTGCTTCAGAAATAACTTCAGGTTCAGTATTTGGATTAAGTTTGACTAATAATGTTCGAAAATTTGTACCACCAAGATCAAGTGCTAATATTTCACCTTGCTCTTTTTTTGTTGGTAAATTTGTTACGTATGTTGGTAACATTTTCAGATCACTACTATTGTTTGTACTTGATTCAAGACCCATTTGACAATGTTTTTCCATAGCTGTCATAACCTGAGCAAGTATTTCTACTGTTATATGGAATGGACTTGTTATACGCATTAATTCTTTATAATCTTCCCATGATATTGCATTTTCATTTGCATGAAGAATTGAAGTTATATTTTCTTCAATTGGATCATGAAGGAGACCATCAAAATTTGAATCACGTGTAACTATTTGTTTGCCAGCTTGAGATACAAAACGAGTACTTTTATTGTTGTTATCAATCAATCTAGAATCTAAATGTTCGGATGAAACTTTTCTCGATCGTAAACAAAAAGTATCCCAACAATTTCCAAGCCAATTAAAAATTGAATTATCATTACCATCTGTCTCTTTCGACATCTTATTAATAAAATTGAAAAAAAAAATAATAATGTTCAAATTAATGACGCGCATTTATTCAAAGAAATATTCATTATTGAATTTTTTTATTGTAGTTCACTTTTATCCGACTGAAGAAAATTTTTCACTTGCTTCAATATACAGAGTCTCTAGTAAGGCTTTTTAATACGGTGCGAAGTACACAATTTCTGTAGTCGATCCCGTACGCATGCAGCCTTCATATCTTGTGTGTATTTTGCTCTAACAAACTCTGTACTTTGTGTTGTGATGTTCTAGAGAACGGTGAGTCACTAGAAATTCGTTCGAACTTTGTCAGAGAGATTAATGTCTCGAAATAATGCAAAACGATTTTGAATTTCAAATATTAAGTTCCATTCATCTTCAGTAAATTCCTCAAAACAGTGAGTATTGAGATCGCTTTGCATCGCATTGATGTAGTCATTTGTGAATTTTATTTTTTTAATTTTTACTTACTAGACATACACATAGAAAGTTATCACTATTTGTTGCGATAGACTCGAGAACGGACAGTCAGAAAATATGCAGGTAGATGTACTTGTACTGTCTTATTCTCGCATCGAAGAAGGTAGAAGTTGTTTAAACAGCGTGAATTTATAGAGAATCTTTTTTCGTACGAAGTTCTTATATTCTAAATCGAAACTGAATATATTATTTAAGCTCTTTATCTTGGCTACACTATAAATAGCAGGAGTAAAACCAAGCTTATGGCAGCCCCAGCAACAGAGTAGATATATATATCATCAAACAAGGATATGTCGATTAATGACAGCAGCATTTAGTTTATTGCTAGGAATCTTGTAAGTTGTCTATTTCCGCTTTTTATAGCATAACATAGATTGTTAACTTAAGTTATATGATTTCAAATAAAAGAGTATTCCAGAGAAAAAGATTTCCTATAAATCGGCACTGTTAAAATAACTTCTAATTTCTTGCATGCGTGAAGATTATTCAAAATAATATTTGATATAGTTTGTAGTATTCTTTTGCTAACGATATCTTGAACAATAAAAGTAGCTGAACATTATAAAAAGCAATTGTCTTACGTAATGTTTTTAGTTAGCAAACATTTCAGATCGATATATTGAATCTACGAAGAATTAGCTTAAGACTATGGCTCAAAATTTAGGTCGCCGGACGTACCAAATTTATCCATCATTTCAAATGCTAAGAAGTTCGGGTTGACTTTAAAATGTAGCTAAGACGTGGTACTACAACTTAACAGGACCCGATTTTTCGACTTTTCCTTTCTTGTGTTTCTAGAAAACTCCTCTGATAAAATATGAAAAGCCCATGGGGTGCAGGTCCAAAAGAGTTGCTTTTTAATAAACAATAAAGAAGAAGTCGAAAAATCCGGCTCTTTTAAGCTGTATAGCTGATTCTTGCCTTTATTTTGATATCAAGCCCAACTTTCTAGCATTTAAAATGGCGAAGAAATCTACGACCCAGAGAATCGTCAATATCAAAAACCCTATTAGAAGAAAAATGCAAAATAAGCTTCAGTACTGTAATTCGATATTTCTTTCTCCGAAAACTGATATAAACAGAATCTTCTAATAATTTGTTCTAGATTGTCGATTAAAACGATTCATATGAACACATGTACAGATGTTCATCACTGCCAATTGCCAATAGAGAAATTTCAAAGACTTTAAAAACGTAAGTTTTTAAGAAAAAAAAGTTTTTTTCGGTCTGTGGAGTCAGAAAAACTTATATAATATTCTTAGACTAGCGGAAACCCGTGCATACTGCATAGCTGTTTTTTTCTTTAACGTATGGCCTCAAGTCTTCAAGGTTTCACTCGGTAAGAACCATATAGACCGTCAACATTATGTATATAGATAACTCTACGACGTCATATCCTTATATCGCTTGTAGCCCTTGTACCCTCACCTCCTTATAGCCTTATCTCCTTATAATCTTACTCCCTTATAGTCATACATCCTTACAGTCTTCTTCCCTTATAGCCTTATCCCTTGCAGACTAATACTATTCTAGCCTTACTACTTTTAGGCTCACGACCTTTGGTCCAACACAGAGAGACAGACACTGAACATTATATATATATGTCATCATGAAATCAATAAACTATAGTACATTCGAGAGTATAAATACGTGGCTCTATCTAGTGAGCCATGAACCACAAAGTTGATGGATTTTACCAAGATTGACTTTGTTAAGTAGGGAGCGGGGTGACAGGCTCTTAAAGATAAGACGAGGGTATCTGAGTTCAATGTTTTTTTTTCCTTAGAGAAAGAGTTTACAAAGGAATAAGTGTAAACTAAGTTTGATTTTTTTTTCGAACAGAAGAGAAACTTAGGTACTTGAGTTGAGAAGTCCTAGTAGTCAATAGAGCTTCTCAGGATAATTTTTCGATAAGGTAGACATAATCCATTTCAGATGGACTAATGTTTTAATAATATATACATGCATTAATCGTTATATAATAGAGAATAGCAAAACTTTTCTTTGTATTTTAACTTGGTTAAAAGCCATTGGCTGTAATGTCGATTAGAAGATTCTGTTGGGTTTCTTCTGAAAATGCAACTATGACGGTCAAAAAAAGTGAGCTCCAAACTGCGTAAACTCCAAATTTGGAGCTCACCTACGCCTTCATGTTTTACTCATTGACCTCAGCTAAAGTTATAGAGTTCACCGCAAACAGCAGCGCCATATCAACCCAAACCATACCCTATCAACCTTCGGTAAATCTAAATTACTTAATTAATTAGCGCTCACCTTGATTACTACTCACCTTAATTAGTACTCACATTAATTAGTGCTCACCTTAAATAGTGCTCACCTTAATTAGTACTCACGTTCAGGGTTCTGAAGGCTAACTATAGGGAGCGCCTTGGGTTCTCAAGGCCTACTGTATGGGGTACCCTTGGGTTCTAGAGTCCTGGTTGTTAAGGAGCATCCATCTGCAATAAGTTTATACTATAGGGATACCCTTAGGTCATACAGTCCTACTATTGGCGGGGGGGGGGGGGGGGGGGCAACACGTCCTGAATTTCTATTATTGGCGGTAAATTTCGACCTCAAGCATTGTATCCAGGCGTACCCTTCAGTTCCCAACAATCACTCGCACTGTGAAATCAAAGCACACACACATCTTCCGGAACCTACCTAGTTACCAAACACACTACTCCCCTTCCGCGCTCTATTTCTTAGTGGTACACTGTTGAGACCCCTAAACGAACACATCGAATAGGATAGACTGCCCTGGCAAATTGTAACATCCGCTCTAACATCACTTCTCATTCATACGAAAACAAACACGGAAAACTCTTCCTAAGATATTCTTCATCAGATTTTCGACCAATCAGATTTCAGGAGGCCTTTTCTTTCTTATTGTTCGGACAACTACTAGACATGTTCGGGCCGATCCTAGGGTTATGGAGGATTCTCTATCGAATGAGTGGTATATGTATGAGGCTTGGTCGCTTCTTTCACTCAGAAATGGAAACTGCGATCCCATTGGTCGAAAAATGGACCAATCAGATTTCAGTTGGCTTTTTCTCTTTTATTATTCGGACAACTACTAGACATGTTCGGGCCGATCCGAGGATTCCCTATCGAATGAGGGGTATATGTGTGGGTCTCCGTCGCTTCTATCACTGAGAAATAGAAACCCCCAATCACATTATTTCCTTGCTGAACAAGCAAATTTCTGATTGCTTCTTCGGTATTATCTCGGAAATTAATGTTGTAGCAGGATCCAAGGACACCACGGTATCCCATAGGATAGCTGATGGCGACTTATCGGTACCCCTGTAGGATACCCCATGGTAACTTATGGATACCCCCTAGGATAGTCCATGAGGACTTGTGGGTATCTCCCGATAGTAGGCCTTGAGCACTCAAGAGTACCACCTATACTAGGCCTTGAGGACCGAAGGGTACCTCCTATAGTAAGCCTCCGGGCCCCTCCAGGTGACTACGAATTAAGGTTGATACTAATTAAGGTGAGTACTCACTAAGGTGAGCCCTCATTAGCGTGAGTACTAATTTAGGTGAGTACTAATTATCTAATTTACGGTTACATATGCTGATAGTCTATGACTGGACTGGATGAGATGGGTTGGACTGTTAGGTGTCGTGTATTTGGCATGGACTGGTATGAGTGGGTAAAATATGGATGCGTAAGTGAGCTCCAAATTTGGAGTTTACGTGTGGAGCTCACTTTTTTTGACCAATTTGGAACGAACTTTTTATACAGATCAGTTCTTTTGAAAAGAACTGTTGAAAAAGTTCAGTTCGCTCAAAGGAACTGTTCAAAAAAGTTCCGTTCGTTCAAAAGAACTGTTTGAACAGATCAGTTCTTTTGAAAAGAACTGTTCGAGAAAGTTCGGTTCGTTCAAATGAACTATTTCAGCAGTTCTTTAGTTCATTTGAACAGAGTTCGTGAACTTGAGCTGGTACACCGCTACTCTCGGCAGAAGCTACTGATAACAATTAAACCAAATTTACGTCTCTTGCGTCTATTGCTTTATCATCTGTTGGAATGATAAAGGTGAACAATTCACGTCACCTAAACACAATCATACTCAAAATTAAAGATTAATTCTCATATTTTCATATGAAAAATCAGATTTTTTAAAAAGATGATTTTATTATGAAATTTTAAAGAGAAATAAAAAGAGAAGAATTTAACATTTTCATATTCCACATAAAGCATAACACTATTGATTAATCTATAAATAATGATAATTGTAACTTATCAAAATTGCATATAATTGATTGAAAATATTTCGATTTGGATAAATATAATAAGCAAGAATACCATCCAATAAAAGATTAAAACCATTCATAGTTAATCTCAATCTTATTTCACGATAACAATCAGAACAATGACATTAGAAATATTTTAGACATTTAAAATTTTCTTAAGAAAACTGTCCATCATGTTTACATACATTGTTGACAGAAAGATAATAATAATTTATTTGTTTGATATGGTAAATCATAATAATATTTCTTTTTACGTTGAACAAGATGATATTTCAAAAAATGTATTGTTATTGTTGAACGTACACATGAAAGCATTTTATGATGTTCAACATAGAGTTTAATAAATATATCAAGTGTTCTATTAGATATGACGACTGTTGTTCATTTTTTTTTTTATTAAATTTATCTTTTGTTATTAAAACTCCCATAGGTAGTTGAAGTATTTTGCTCTGAAAGTAAAAAAATGATTATCAATACATTATAGGGATCGATCAATAAAAAGAAAGGTTTAGCGAACAGACGAGTTAATCAAATCGAGAATATCGTATGAGCGTTGAAATATTTATTCATATAAGTCAATACAAGACGGATGCAACTGCAATGTGACTAACATATTACTTTTTCAAGTAAAAGTTTTTCTTCTGATATTTTCTGCATTTATCATGATTAACATAGATTTCAAGAGAAAATTGCCTGGTTAGATAAAATATCTTTCTCATATTTAAATCTCATCTATTCATCTTCTATAAATTATGTTATATCATAATAGATTATTTCAATTTATTTCAATGCATGATAGTAAAAGAATTCGTATAACAAAGTTCATGTAACATAAGTCAAAGCCAAATCTGAATATTTGTAGAAAAACATTGTAGACGACAAAGTCGACTGAGTGGATATTGATGTAGCTCTTGTCGAACTAAATGTGGAAAATAAGGCGTATCATGCTGAAACATATCACAAAAGAATATTTCAAGGTAAACAAGCTGTTGTAAATGATCAACAAGTAAATAAATAAGATTAACAATACATTTTGTTGATTTCTTTTTTCCATCTTTCATTCGAGATGGTTTCCATTCCCACACATGATATGAATCATAAATAGTAAATGAAAATATCCTTAAATTACAAAATTGATTCGACAATAATGTACAAAAATGGTCAACGTTGTGTAATGCCCATGTTTCACTGTTAATCTTCAATGATTTAATCTAATCAATAGAAAATAGATTTTAGTTATTTCATACATTTCATTTTCAATAAATATTTGTGAAAAAAAATTCTCTTACTTGTTGATTAATACGAGATCCATAATTTTCTTTGTTGTACAGGATTGTTCGCGTTATAATTCCTCTATGATCAAATATTTTTAATGTATCTACATTATAGGCTTTTTCTAATAAGGACTTTAATATATATTGAGTGATAACATCACTGTTATTTATTTCAATTTTTGGTATTAATGGCCATGGAATAAATGATGACAGTGAAGATTCAGATTTGACAAGATCTCGAATAGAATTTGTCTTCTTATAACCATATAGAGATAAAATATTAGCATGCGGAAACAAATTTGTTGCATCACTCAATATTTGACAAGATTTAAATACAAACAATGAATATTTATATTTTTTTCATATATTTCTCAATATACTTTTCAAAATCATTTGAAAACATATGTGATAAAAGAGTTGTACCATTATATGGAAGAGTAAATACAATAAAACAATGATCATCAGTACCATGATTGGGATCATAACATTCTCGTATAACAACTTTTGGTTTTTCTCGTGGAATAAATTCCATTCGACGAAATGAATTAAAAATAATTTTTTCTTCTAAATCATTTCTAACATATAATAATAGATTAAGATTATAAATTGCCATTCGTTGAAGACGATCAATAATTAATTTTTGAATAATATCACCTGATATTATCATTGAACCACATACTAGTGTATTTGCTTCGAATTTCAATGATAAATGACTAAGTTGATTAAATATAGACGATAAAAGTGAAACTATTCGATGAAAACTAATGTTATTCAAACAATTTATATGCAGAGAAGATAAATATTCAAGATGATGAGCATCAATAGTTGTAGGTAATCTAAAAATTATTCATATAATAGATACATTTATATATGATTATATATTACTTACATAATTTTATCATGTAAGTCATTCTCATTGATATCTTGATCTTTTATACTAAATGAAAGTTTCCCAATTAACGGTATACATAACAGTAAATGTTCGAGAAAGTATGATGAATGTATACCAACAGACAAATTACGCAGTTGATTTGTATTTAATAAACTTGATAAAATCATATGAGATTTTAATGAATAAATTTCTATTTCATTAACATTATTATTGTCATAATCAAATGAAAGTCGACAGATTCTTAAAAGTGGCATTTGTGAACATACCTTTAAATAAAGAGAATTCTTTATTCAATAGAAGAAATAATCGAATTTTACCTTAACTAGATAAAATCCTTCAACTTTGAGACTGTTCAATGGATTCGAAGGTGTCACATCAACTAATAAAGTATGTAACTGTCTTATGAAATGGTTACATAATAATTTATCAAATTCATTTGGTTTAATATCGATCAAATGTAAATGTCGAAGTAATAATGTTTGATGATAATGAAGTGAAGATGAAATAAGTGACCATCCTCCGATAGTATTCATTAAGTTCAACCGTAATGAGATGACTCGATTTCCTATTAATTTCAAAATATTATGACTATGTTCAATAAACATCATTAATGACATTTTTGAATCACCAATACGAATGTGCCATAAATGTTCATTTGTTATACGTAGGTGAAGTTAGCCTCATATTCCAGTAAATCCAGCCATGATTCGGCGCCAAAGCTGCCCCAGCTGCACCAGACAGCGCCAGTATACAACTCGACGAGCTCTATCCATTGGTGACTTTGAATTTTTCCTAGCTTGAACTATTCGTGTGAAAATCCCAAAATACTAGCTTTTTCCTATGCAAATTTTAGCATATGGATAGTAAATCCAGCCAAGATTCGGCGCCAAAGCTGCCCCAGCTGCGCCAGACACCACCAATATACAACTCGACGAGCTCTATCCATTGGTGACTTTGGATTTTTCCTAGCTTGAACCATTCGTGAAAAAATCCCAAAATACATCTCAACCTTATTGAGCGATATGTCAGATGTTGATATCGTAAACTTGAAAAAATTCCTTCTTATTACAAAAAAAATGAGAATTGACAAATGTTGATTAAAAAATGAATGAAAACTTCTTGAAGTAGAACATGTTAAACAAATCAATAAAACTATGTTCTGAAAAATAACAAATCTCTCGCAAATACATTTATTCAAGATTAAATTGCTTAAACGATGAGAGAAAAGTTTGTAAATAAAGTGTATTTAAAGTCTGTTGTTCTACTTGTCATGAGAATCATCAAATAGATTAGAATTTATATTCTTCATGTTTTGTTATCTTTTTGACCGTTATTCATTGAAATGATAAGATATAATTTTGTTTCTCGAATCAATCTTCATCGGTTTGTGCCTATTGATGTTGGCTCTTGTGATTTGTTCTGGAGTTTCATTCTTTTTTATGTTCTACCCAATAATTGTCACAAATCTTTTTTTTTCGATTTAACATTAATAGAAAATCATGTTCATCTTCTTCGTAATCATCTGACGTTATCAATCTTCAAATTGACGACATCGATCGAAAGCTACAAGAAATAGTTGTTGCCATTTGACTTGATATTTAACAAAAGTGAATTTTACATCAACAAATGTTTTCGACTCATCGTTAAATAACAATTATACTCCAAAAAGAAAAGTTGATTTACTTTTGAGGATAATAAATAAATGCAATTCGAGCACAAAGAGTGAGAAAAAAAGATCTACGAAAGCATATCATAGTTCTTAGAAATTCATTATTCAATGTTGTTTATAATAACAGATTTTTGAAATTCCTCGATTTCTTTTGAAAATTTTCATTGTAGTTTATTTTTGAAGGAAAGATACTGATTATTAAATATGATCAAAACAGATTCAAAATTGTTAATAATTGATAGAGCGTATTCTTATTGCCAAAAATCATGTAAAAAATCCAATACGGATCTGCAATTTTCATCCAATTCATATAATCGGTTCCACAACAAGAACGACATCATGTTTTGCTATATCAGTGGAAAAAATACAAGTGTAATCACTTGCATTGATGCATCTTATGCTATATCCGCAGTTCAACTAGAATGTACAATCATATTCCAAATAATTCATTGCATTGCAGATGAATAAAAGCGTCACTAACGAAAAGTCCCTCTTGTGCAACAGAAAACTCATTCACTCACTACTGAACACGATCATCAGATTTAACTACACCATAAGTTATCAGCATGAATACTTACAATAAGTCACAAAGGCAACCTTTCAAGTTACTACCTGAATATTCGACGGGCCTTCTGATCTATGAATAAATCTGAACTCAAATTACTATAATTTCGCAATTTTTTAAGACCTAGTTTGATCTATAGAAATTCTGATAACATCCTCCAATACAGCTCGTCGAGTTCTACTTCGAACACGAATAGAACACCTGAAACATCTTC